GTCATTTACTGTGTCACAGCAACGCTCTGGAACTTAGTCTATTTTAAGTCCATTTATCGCTCATCCAGTTGGCATTTAATTTAACATTCAAAGTGCTGTATTGTTATATTGATTTATCTTGCCATTCATCTGCAAGTCCCATCTTGTAAAATTAAATAACTTTCTCTTCTTTTTTTTTTCCTTCACCACAGAAAACAAGAACACCACACACCTGTCTGCCAACCCACACAAACACCTGTGCACTGAACTTGCACGAGTAGAAGGGCTATACACAGGGCTAAAGGACCACGGTAGCAATCGTAACAGCTGAGAAAACATGTAGCCACCAGCTTTGATTCAAAAACACAAAACAACAAATGATGTAGCAAAGACACTGAACTTGCACGCTGTTGCAAAGGAATTATTTAGTAGATTCTTGAAGTTTATGACAGCTGCATTACTGTTTCTTGTTTCACACACTGGCCTCCCATTCTCAGATCACGCAGTAGGCTACATTATTCAGGTCATTTCCATGCTATTATCTGTACCCTGAGAAAGTGCAATTTAGCGATTATGTGCAATATTATGCATTTTTCTACTGTTTCTACATCATTAAAACATTTTCAACTGAAGGTGATTTGCTCTTCTCCTGTGTCCACTGAGTGCTAGAAGCTTTGTGCAGTGTGGCAACAGCCGGAGCTGCGAACTGTCCACGTTTTACATCTTTTGTGCTTTAGTGGAGCAGAGTTGGACCATGACCAGAGCTCAGCAGCAGCAGCAGTGCAGTGCAGCTCTGTTCTCTCCTCTCTTCTAATGTGATTACTTCTCAACCTCCAAGTGACGACTGGGAGGTGGGTGGGGGTTGCAGTCGATCAAACTGAGCGACCTGATCCCACGTCTGTCTGTTCATCTGTCTCCCCTGATAACTCCCACTGTGTCTGTCTCTGTCATTCTCCTCAGTTGATTCGCCTTTGCTTTTATTTCACCAGGCCTCCACCATTTCATCCGTACAGCATCATTTCATCCCTGCAGAACCTCCTTCCTCTATTTCCACCTCAGACCACAGTTCTCTCCGTATTTACCTTTGTCCCCTGTCATTGTCTTTTTACTCTTTTGGATATGAGTTCCAATGTTCGATTTCTCTTTATTTTTACACACAAGTCAGTTTATTGATCACATGCAGTTCAGAACAATCCTTTAGTTTGTATCCATATATATAACATGCATTGTAATATCAGTACATTTACATTCCATCGNATTGTTTGAAATACATGTATCGTACAGGCTTAGACACATCAGTCAACCGTCAGTGAGGTATATTTAGATGCCAAGTGAAATGTATTATTTTGACCGAGGCTGTGTACCAACTGTTTCCTTGCATTACACGTCAGTATGAGCTCAGTCCAAATAACAAGAAACATCCCAACTACAGAATAAATTAACAAAAGGCTTTAATCAATGTCATTATCTTCTTTCCAATTTCATCACTTTCCAAATGTGATGATGCCTTATGAGTTTGTGTAGTTTTTGAAGATGTGATTACATAAGTATTGAACATGTATAGAAGCCCAATCCCGCCAAGAAAAAGGTAAATTAAAAAGTTTCACATTTTGTTTGAGATAGTGGGTCAAAAATGAACTTTCTAGTCATTTTGATTGAAAATCTTATCACACACTGTCAAACTATCATGTCAAGAGTTCCACTAACTTAAATGCAGGCTGACGAGCAGTTTGCTGACTTGTTAAACATGACAGGTCTGTTGGACCACAGTCAATACAAGTTAAACTATTGTAGGGTTGCAAAAACCAAGTCTCCTGGTGTTAAATTGGTCTATAATGCAGGGTGTGTACAAGGGTTAACTCTACAGGTTCATGTCCCAGTGAACCGAGTTCTGATAACAACAAATTCAATGCTGAAGATAAATATTTCTTATATAACCTCTAGAGTGTAGAACAAGAAAAAAAGTGTGGGATATTACGCATATTATAATCAACAACCCCCTTATGATCTGTTTTTTATTCATAGAAACTCAGATAAAACTTGTGTCATAAAACTCCTAATTTTAAAGAAAGTGCTATAAAGAATTTCCCGGATCCCTGAACACAATTTACCGGGATCTTCCCTGACCTCTACTGCATCTTTCCAGCAGGTTTCCAGGTAAAAATGTCCAGTAGGTTTTTCATCATTTTGCTTACAAACAAACAAACTGTCAAACAAATGGACAGTGGTGAAAACATCATCTTCTTTGTGGAGGTAATGAATGACATTTCGGTTTCTTTTGACTCAGGTGACCTCTTTAGGATCAGTGCTCTTTGTGTAGCGTTACGAACACCTTTGAGGAAAACCACAGGGTTGGATCCACCAGTCCCTTTGACAGTACGCACGCCTCCGAGTGGGCAGCTCATGGCTTGGGCCTTGTTAGCAGGCATGATGACGTACTTGGTCACAGTATTGAGGTGGTAGCTCCGTAAATCCACCAGCGCTGACACACAGGTGTTGTAGGCCTGGAGGAGGTCAGAGCTGGAGTGGGAGGAGATGAAGTCTCGCAGAGGTGGAAGAGCAGAGAGAGTCTCTATCAGCTGACGGTGGGCAGGAGGCATGTAATCCCTCATGCGTGTCAGGTAGGCCCCTAGATCAGTGGAGACAACAGAAAAGAGACCTTTAAAAAAGAGAGACAAKAACAACAGCTTTCCCTCGAATCAATTTCTGTCAGAGCAATCAACTGACTMCACAAACAYAGTGATGCATTCATGAGAAGCAGCGAACGGGGGTCAGAGGTTGAGGGAAATACATCATTACCTGTCTCATCATCATGCCGGACGCACAGCAAAGCATCGAAGCACTGAATGGCTGAACTCTGGGCTGCACTTCCGCCTGATAACAAAATTGGCTCATTGCTCACACCTTCATACAGAAGCCCTCTTGGAAGCATTGGGTTGTCTCGCCAACTAAAYCAGTTCAAAACCATAAACATGCAGTATTAAAGGGATAGTTCACCCAAAAATTAAAATTCACTCATTATCTACTCACCATTATGCCGATGGAGGGATGGGGTTTGAGTGTTTGAGTCGACAAAACTCTTTTGGATTTTCAGGGTTAAACAGCGTTTAGCCAAATCCAATCCAATTTAAATCAATGGGCCACCATGTTTTGGTCACAATTTATTTTAATTGTATTGGATTTGGCTGCAATGCTGTTTACCCCCTCCACTGCCATAGTCCTGAGTAGATAATGAGTAAAATATGTGTTTTAGTGTGCTACCATTTCCCATGCAACAGGGGTAAGAGGAGCAGAGAATTATGATGCATAGTGACATAAATCTGCACCAGATGAGATAAATATTAAAAACATTAATAAAGTTGTACAAAGACTGAAACTCACCCTGAGAAAAAAATMCTCAATGTTCCATGAAATACAGTCGGATCTACATGATCTAGAAAAAGCACAAATCCACTTATTCTGATTACCTTGAATTYCACT